CAGTGAGCACATGGTGATACTTGTTTTATTACTGTTTTGAAAAGGACATAAAAGGCCACTGGTTTCCCCAACATACATAAGGTACCTCCACCTTTTTTTTGTTTGTTTGTTTGTTTTTGTCTTTTTGAGACAGGGTCTCCCTGTAGCCCCAGCTGTCCTGGAACTCACTATGTAGACCAGGCCGGCCTTGAACTCACAGAGATCCACCTGCCTGTGCCTCCCAAGTGCTGGGACTACAGGCGTGTGCCACCATGCCCAGCCTCCACCTTTTTTTTTTTTTTTTATTATGAATGTGTGCATACCAGTTTCTGAAAAAGCAAAGTATACTGTAAATGCAAAAACATTTCTAGTCATAATCATTTTATCAAGTAAATAAATTTCACTTTATATTTTATATAACTCTAGATGGCTGTATTGGGCCTGCTATCATTCCAGGCAATCCAGAAGTATTGATATTAACAGTCAATAGAAACAACAAAGAAAGATTTCCCAGAAAGGTGCTATCCTAGTGTTTTACCTAACCCTTTGAGAAACACCATTAGGAAATTACTATTTTTCCATTTTAACAGTTGAGAAACTAAGGAAAGAACAAATTAAGCAAAATGCTAAAGGGAGTCCTACTGACAGTCAAATCTTCTCCTCATGGTCAGGAAGCCCAGCATCTGATCCCAATTCCATGTCTGCTCTATCAGTGAACAGGTGGAACCAGATTCCCTATTAGATCTAAAATGTCAGGACGCCATTATGAAATGCTGCTTTCTATTCTTATGTGCCTAACTTAACCATTTTCCTTCATTTACTTATTTTCCTTGAGAATGTTTACATGAGTAAACAGCATGACTATTTTTTTAATATTTTATTTATTTTTTTATTTTATTTTACGTGTATGTGTATATTGCTGGCATGTAGGTAAGAGCACACATGCCATGCAATGCCCACAAAGGACAGAAGAGGCTGTTGGATCCCCTGGAACTGGAGTTATGGACAGTTGTTAGCTGCCATGTGGGTGCTGGGATTAGAACCCGGGTCTTCTGAAAGAACAGTCAGAGTTCTTAATCACTGTGCCATCTCTCCAGCCCCTATTTTATTTTTTACTTATTTTATTTAGGAATATTTATATGAGTAAATGGCAAGACTAAATATTAAAGACAACAGATGTCATTAGTTTAGACATCATGATAAGAGTCATGGAAATTATTTACATGAAAAAAGATTTCCAAACTGAAGTAGAACAGGCAGCTTCATATGTCATTTCAATAGTGATTTATTTCACTCCACATACTAAATCTCTAAGTGAAAAATAATCCTTAGGGCTAGAGAGATGGATCAGTGGTTAAGAGCTTTTGCTGCTCAATCATGAAAACCAGTTTGAATCCCAGCACCCATGTTAGGCAGTTTACAGATGTCAGTTAGCTCCAGTTCCAGATCTGTTGTCCACATACAGAAATTAAATCTTTAATTAATAAATATCTTTTAAAGAAAAGAAAGAAAGGATGGAGGGAGGGAGACAGGGAATCTTTGTCATCCACAACTACTTTGGTTCCTCCATATTCTGGGAGAACTTTATCTCCAAATTTAAAGCTAAGTAGTTCAGTCTCCCCACCTGTTCCTCAGACCCTGATTCCAAAGCTACTACTGTTGTTTACAATACTTTCCTTTGAGAATTTTGTAGATACACAGTGCCTCCTTTGGTTATAGTTTTGGCTACACTCATTTCACCCAATACCCTTTTGAACACCTGAAGCCATGTTTTAAATGCTTTTCCTATCATCGCTCTTGCCACTGCAGCTTGAATTCTGCTCTGGTGACACCGAAAGGACAGATCCCATAAATTGAACTTATTTTTTAAAAATAAGATTCCTCAGAAAAATCTTTTCAATAGTTTATTTTTTAAAAAAATTAAGTAGAGGATCCACACTACTTTGATAGATATATATTACATCAGACATAGTCTCAAACATCAAGTAGTCTATTTTGACAATGTACTTTTAGAGAAAGATGTTAATTAGGTACTCTGACAGTACGCTACACCCTCAGTGGACCCTAATTTAACTTTACAGGTGAACAAAAACTGCTAAAAGTAATGTCCTCTAAACCATGTATCCCTTAAAGACAGAGGTTATCGTTTACCCAGTACCCCCAAAGTCTTTGCAACCCCTGGTTGAGTAGGTGGTCGAGTGAGTACACCACAGCTCCAGGACAGACACACACTAGTAGCACTAATAAGGCTACTTTAGTCTACCAAAAACATTTTCTGTATTGTCATGGGGCTTATGGGCCAGTATTTAAAATAATAATAGTAATAATAATAGAAAGGAATAACTAAATAGCTAGAATCTAAACTTATTTTTTAAATTTTATTTATTTTTATGTGTATGAGTGTATTGCCTGCATGTGTGAGTGCACCCGTGTCGTGCAATGCTGCAGAGGTCAGAAGAGGTCATCAGATTTCCCTGGAACTGGAGTTAAGGACAGTTCATAGCCACCATGTGGGTGCTGGAAATCAAACCCAGGTCCTCTGCAAGAACAGTCCATGCTCTTAACCGCTGAACCATCTCTCCAGCCCCAAACAGAATTTTTTTTTTTTTTTTTTTTTTTTTTTGGTCTTTTTGAGACAGGGACTCCCTGTAGCCCCAGCTGGCCTGGAACTCCTTTTGAGACCAAACTCACCTGCCTCTGCCTCCCTGGTGCTGGGATTAAAGGTGTGCGCCACCATACCCTAGAATCTAAACTTATTCTAATTAGCTTCCTTTTCATCACTGTGAGAAAAGGTTCGTCTAAGAAAATAGTCCCCACAACTGTTCAAACAGCTTAGGGTTAAGTTAAAAATCTTTCTAGAATATAATGACTTTAAATGACTAGAAAGCAGTTACATACCTGGTGAATTTGCCACTGAGTCAAAATGACAGTTAGCCAAGACAGCATGCTGGGCTCCATCTTGAGGTTCCAGCTTGACTACTACATTGGTAATGTTGTCATAGTAGCTTGTAAAACCTCCCAAGAAGTCAATGCTAAAGGAGCCTGTAGGCCGTTGTATATCTACTGAAATCTTGTGAAGGCTGTTGCTTTGTACTTCAATCAGTTTGATCTGATCCAAAAGGTACTGCACTGTCAGAATTTCATTTTCTGCACTTCCTGTAGTCCTGGGGCCAATGGATGTTATGTGTTCCAGATAATCCCTAGAAGCAATCAAAAGGATAACAACTCTTGTAGGCTTAAAATGAACACTTATCTCAGAGCAACTTATCCACTATGCTTACCTCCTACCTCAAAAAGCTTAGTTCTTTGGACTTCTCACATTAAAAAATACACTGCCCTTTCTTTTTTTCCTTGATATTTTTTTTTAACTTCAGATATCCCAAGAGAATTACTTGGAAGTTCCATCATTTTATACTGCCTCCCAGGAATTAAAGCCTTCACATTTTGCCATTCACCCCACCCCTAATTTCTCCCAATCCCCATACCAAATCAGAACAAAGACAAGGGCTTAGGTTCAACATGACTGCTGAAGGCTACACAGGAAAATGAGACCTCATGAGCCTGACTCCTGAGGGCTAGTTAAGGATTGTGAGTTACCCAGTCTAAGTGACAGAAACTGATAAGCAAAAAATGTAGGGTGAGATCTAGTAAGCAATGACAAACTTCTGATGGTAAAGAATAAACTCTGGCCTCCTCTGGTACACACAAGTACTAATAACCAGTTCAGGTCAGAACTCACCTTACATCACTGCATTCCAAATGGGAGAAAAATAATTTGGGAGGGGATGCCCAAAAAGTCCTTAAGAAAATAAGTTTTCAGCATGATGCATTCAAAGAACAAACTTTCAAAACGCTATTGCTGTTGGAAACTTTCTGCTAGTTGATAATGTAGTGAGCCTTAAAGTACAAGTTACAATATACCTACTGCACCTTTCCTAGCACACCTGAAGGTCATTTAAAAAAAAAAAAAAAATTAAGCCCTGGCAGCACTCAGGAAGCAGAGTCAGGTGGATCTTTGTGTTCAAGTCCAGCCTGGTCTACATAGGGGGTTCCAGGATCCTCAGGATTACACAGTGAGACCCTGTCTCAAAAAAAAAAACAAAAACAAAAACAAAACAAAAAAACATCGAAAAACAATAATTTTCTTTTTAATTAAATTTTTTATTTTATGTGTATTAGTGTATTGCCTGCAAACGTGTAAGTGTACCCATTTCATGCAATGCCTGGGAGATCAGAAGAAGGCAGTGATTTTCCCTGGAACTTGAGTTATGAGCAGTTATTACCCACCATGTAGATCCGCCGGGAAGCCCGGCCGCGCGACGAAGGACCAGCCGCTGCAGAGACAGCTGCACCAGCGCCCGCAGCGCCAGCAGGTAGAGCCCGAGCGCCAGCACTGCGCGCACCTCGGACAGCGCGCTCCCCGCGCCCCGGCCCGCGCCGCCTCCCCCCGGGCTTCTCTTCCGCGTCCTCCCGCTGCTGTCCACGTCCGCCCAGGCCTCCCTCTCCGGATACGGTTCGACCGCCGGTCCTTCCCTACGCTCTGCTCCGCCGCGGTGCCGCCTCACAGCTGCCGACTCAGTGCCCCACTCCATAGCCGCAGCTTCAGCCGACTGCCCAATCGCCCCTGCCCGCAACAGCCCAGGCTGCCGCCGCCGCAGCGCCTCCTAGTGAGCGGACGGAATCTGCAGAGGGCCAAACTTCTTCTGATTGGCCGGCCCGCCGAGCTGCGCCCCAGGGATTGAGACTGAGAGGTCGCTGGTGACCTGGGCGGGGCAGAGTACGTTTGCCGGCCTGTCCGGACGCCCCAGTCTGGTGAGGACTGATTACCAAATGGAAAAACACCCTTAAGCCTAGAAATGAGCAGCCCCAAACAAGAGAAAAGTGAAAGATTGCTTTTAACAGAATGGACGAAGCGCTTACTGCACACCAAGCAGACGAAGACAATGACTGTTTCGTAAGGAATATTGAAACTGGCCTCTGAAAAAGTAGGCTTCTGGCTCTTAAAAGGAGAAATAAAACTTAACAACTGGGAGTGGTTGCACAGGCCTTTAATCCTAGCACCGAGGAGGCTGATACAGGAGGATCCCGAGTTCGATGCCAGTCTGGGCTGCATAGCGAAGAATCTGTCTTTTAAAGTAAAAGAGTTACATGTCTAATTCCAGTACTCCAGGGGCAGAGAAAGGAGAATTGCCACAATTAGAGATCTACCTAGTCTACCTAGTGAGTTCCAGCCCGGCCAGGGATAAGGAGGGTGAAAGGGAGAAAGGGACACACGTGAGGCAGATAACCAGTGCTATTGCTGCCTCCAATTAGCAGATAAAAAAATAATAGCTATTATTTAGTGCCTAGCTGCTATGAGTCAAGCAGTGTGCTGAGACCGGCCTTTAAAAAGAAAATATTTTATTCCTATTTAATAACTGAAGAACTTGGAGGTAGTGAAAGAAAAATGAACTCTCATGGGCTCCCAAGAGAGCATTCTTTTCCACTTCCACACGACACTGGAAACAAAGGTTCAGAAAACATATTCTCGGGGCCACCTAGCTGGATTAGAGGGTAAAGGCATTGCTTGCCCCACCCTCCCTCAGAGCGGGTAGACCTGATTTTGATCTGGAGTCCCGCAATGGAAGGAGAGAACGCTCACAAATTGTTCACTGATCTCCACACTCACTCACACACACACACACACACACACACACACACACACACACACACACATCATACAAACACAAAATAAAAATATTTAAATACTTTAAAAATAAAAAATAAATAAGTGAAAAGTATTCTGCCTTCAGTCTCACCCTAGGTCATAAGAAGCTGGTGGTTGCTTTTAGTAGTCATGCTAGCAACTGTCTAGTCTTATTCCTACCTGCTGGTGCCAGGAGCCTCTTTGATTCAAGGTTTTGTGACCCAAGCTTATAGTGGCTGTGGTACCCTGGGTTATTAGCAGAGAGACCCATCCGGCAAGTACACTGCAGGATTCTGACGGAGCACCTGTGTCAGATATCATGCAATGCTCTGTGGGTTTACTCCTGCCTACCTCTCAGACCCATCAGACACCAGGGTGTTCCTACAGCCACATTGGCTTCTTTCAAACACTTCCTGCTCAGCATCTTTCCTTTACAACAGCATCTTCTCATCTGCTCCATGAGGACAGGAATCTGATTTTGCTCAGCGTTTTACTCCTTTAAGACAACATGGTATATTGTACATAGTCAAATATTTTTTGAGTGAATAAAAACATAACAGTTTCTGGATACATCATAAATTTAGTTTCCTAAGAGTCTTTCTAGTCAGTAAGTTCTACGACCAAAGACAATGTCTCTTATTTATTAATCATCTCACCTCTAGCGCTTAGCTTTTGCCCAGTCCCGGATCATCACTTACTATGAATTTTTTTTTTTTATTTTTTGCCAATTCTTCACCACATCTGCTGTTGTCCTTGGTAGTTACTATGAATTTTTAATGATAAAATGAAAATATAAATATTGCCTTCTATAAGAAGCAGCTATTTTTACTATTCATTTCCCCCAACATCTAGTTCTTGTATCATTTTTGGAAAAAAAATCTCAAACCGACTCTGTGTCTGCTACAATGTAACAAGATATAGAAGTTTCTAGTTTCAAGGGAGAAGGTCACCAATGTCTCTTCTTTTATGCTTATCATTTTGTGTACACTTGCTGCCTGGGTGACTATAGGAAAAGCCAAGGACAAATTGCAGCTTTTGGAATATTTGTAATTGGGCAAATCACTTGAGCTCTGTTTTTTATTTTATTTTTATTTTATGTGTTTTTGCTACCATGCATGTTGGTGCACTGTATGTGTGCAATGCCCACAGAGGCCAGAAGAGGGCATTGAATCCCATGGAACTGGAGTTACCAGACAGATGTTAGCTGTCATGTGGGTGCTGGGAACTGAACCAAAGTCCTCTGCAAGAGCAGCCAGTGTTCTTAACCACTGAGCCATCTCTCCAGCCCCTTGAGCTCTGTTTTTATGAATGGACAACATATGTTACACATCTTTTACCCCATCCCATGGAAAGCCTTCATAGAAAAGCCAGATGTTGGGCTCAGAAAGCTCTGAGTTCCTGGATCTGATACATTCAACACATGCTATTATTCAAGTTACAATTTCACAGAATCCTGGTTTCCTTATGTGTGGTAATTGAGATGATTGTTGTATGCCGGAGTTAGCAAAAATTCACCAACACCACTTAATTGAAAGTAGCAAGGTAAAATTTTATTTCAGGTGACCAGGCTGTCTATCTCGGGAGTAGAAGCAGCCCTGACTATCAATTGATTAGAGTTTTTATAGGATTACAGAAAGCATTGTATAAGCAGAGTATCTGAGCACCAATCAGGTTTGTACAACATAACAGAATTTTAATTTTAGTTAATCAACAGCCAATCATTATACAGACAAGTGATGTAGTCATATAACTTAGCATTCAACTTTGTAACCTTAAAATTAGCCAATCGTCCTAGCCATAATTAGTATAGTAAGAAAGCCAACATCAACAGTTTCCAGGTGGCCATACAATAACAGGATAACAGGGTGGTCTTATGTTTTGTGTCAAGGTGACCCTGAATAGTGAGTTACAGAAGCAAAACAAGCAGTTAGCCAAATGCAAAATGTCTGAGATTAGCACACTCCATGAGTTGTGGTTAGGACATTTTCTTAAGACCCAAGGTTGCCCCCCTTTCCTTTGAGTGTGAGACAAAGTTACTGTTGAAATAGCTATTTTGAACAAAATGGAGTGAATTAGGTTAGTTTGCTGAGACAGTTCATTCCCCACTCCTGTTGTAAGGTTAATTCTTTGACCTATTTAGGTTAAGCTTTCTTCTTGTACTTGTTCAACTGGTATAAGATGTTTATATTGGGCTCTCAACACCATTAGTTTTACTGCCTGGAGTCTTTGGTTAATAAATTTTACAAGAGTATTTAGGATGCAAGGCCTGAAAGTAAATATTAAGAGAGTAAGAATCAAGGGTCCTGCAACACAACTTAGCAATGTGGTCAGCCAAGACAACCAGGAAAATAAGGACTCGTACCAATTCTGGTAATTACTAAGTTCCCTCTCTTGAGCATTAATTCATTGCTGGACCACCTAATGCTACCTCTGATAACTCCAGTGTGGTTAGCACAGAAGCAACATTTTTCACCTAATGCCATGCATAATCCTCCTTGTTGCATAAAAACAAGATCTAGCCCTCAACAATTTTGTAACACTGCTTCAGCTAATGAATCAAGGGAATAAGTTAAATTTTTAATTTGATGCTCCATATCTTTTGAATCTAGGCTTATCTGTCAAGTAAGGGCTTTGAAATGTATTTATCCTTTGATTAGAGCAGTTTTCCCTACCCCCTGTGGCTCCCATTATGCCTGTTCCTACTAACATAGGTACCAGAATGGCTGGCACCACTCCTCTTGGGAACCGGATATTGACTGACGACACCAAATGTTCCCATCCTTCTATACCTGAATGGTAATAAACTTGTGGGATAAGGTGAACCAAGATACAGAGCTCACCTGGCAAGACCAGGAACTTCTGGTTTATACAAAGAGTTAGTCCAGAGGTACGGTAGGCTGATTACTTATACCTTGATAAGGGGACAAGGATAAATTATAGGTGTGACCATAGAAGCAAGTTCCTGACAGGCTACCAAGGGTGAGTACAGGTTTAATTATAGGTGTGACCATAGAAGCAAGTTCCTGACAGGCTACCAAGGGTGAGTACAGGTTTAATTATAGGTGTGACCATAGAAGCAAGTTCCTGACAGGCTACCAAGGGTGAGTACAGGTTTAGAGCCCCAGGGGCAGAGGTCTCTTCTGATCACATTATCAGACGTGAGATTTTGGATATAGGAGGAATTTGTTCCTATAGACCTAATAGCCCCTATTCCTATATAATAAGGGGGGTGGCAAGGGTCCAGGCAAAGCCAGCAGTCCTTGGTGAGATCTGGATCAGTAGCATTGAAAAATTCATAGGTGTAGAGCAGGGAATTATACAACTCAGGAGGGTCCCATCTGGAAACATCATTGGAGCTGACATGATCAGTGGGAGATGGTTTTGGTGGTGAGGGAGGACTGAGGACATTACTAGGGCCAATGGGTACTGGAGGGATCAATGGGACTTCAAATTTTTGAATAGTAAATTTCATCCCTGGATCCTTTCCTGGGACATAAAGCCATATTCCCCATGTTCTTCCCATAAGCCAACTTTTATCATTTCCACTTAGTACTTGCAAAACCAGAGGATTAAGATTCCTTATAGTATCTTTAGCAATGCCACGTTGTAGGGAACTCCATCTATCCTTTGACCCAATCCAGGAGGCAAAGGTTTCACAACCCCAGGAACCACAATGCCATTCATTTTTGAGGTTACAATCTGGGCTCCCATCTGCTGGGCATCCATAAACCTGTAAGCCTCTCATGGGGAATAGATCTGCAAGTCCAACTTTGAACAGAAGAGGCATCGTAGTAAGTGTATACAGAGTGTACCGTTTCAAGCTTAAACAAATCACAAATATCAAACTGGAAAGTGGGAATGTAGCTAGCAGTGATATTGGTAGCTAGGGGTTTTCCATCTGAGGTCCTCCTAACTACCCATTTATATGAGACCAATACATGGGGGTTTTGACTCCCGTTTCCCTTGGTGGTTCCCAATACCCAGAAGATAAACATTAGTATTAAGGTTCCC